GATTTAAAATCAAATTCTTTTTAAAAATACTTGTACTTTTACTCGTTACTTTTTAAAAGTAACGTTGCCATATATGGTAAGGTATAAAACTTTTTGAATCTTCTTAAGGAATATAATTTCGCATGGTAAAATGCAATACTAGTAAAATCGGTTGAAAAGTTCCTGAGAGATTAAACTTCAAAAAAGTCAGATTTTGCTCAAATTTTGTATTTTGCCATATAAAATTATATTCTTTAAAATGATGCAAAACATTTTATACCTTACAATTAAAAATTTTTGACCATTATTAAACAAAAATAAACAATAAATATTTGTTAAAAGTAAATTTTTTTAAAGGAATTTATGTTTGGATAAAAAAATATTTCTAATTTAGTGCAAAAACTCTTCAACCCACTCAAAAAAAGATAGAGCGAAATACGCAAAAAATAAAATTAACATTAAAGGATTCAAACTTTAGAGCTCATCAAACTATTGGGATCATATTTCCCAGGTTGCGGCGAATATTTTGAGGGTTCAAAATCTAAATCCGTCAAAAAAATTTATGTTTATCCAAAGAAAGTATGTTATTGTGTCTGATTTCGTAACTTAAAATATCGTCTGTATTTAATAATTAGCATATTTGAAGTTACTCCTTTCAGCCATTAAATTTGAGTCCTAGAACATGAACATCCGATCATTATATCAAATGTGATTCAGGGTAGTCCGTTTTTTATTTTGCACACTGTACATAGAGTTATATTTTTTTGATCAGTATGAAGAGGAGGTTTCGTTGCACAGGGAACCAATAATCGTACCAGAAATACATGCAAAACATAATTTATAAAAATTAAGAAAAAAATAAACAACAAAAAAAACTCTACAATTAATACTCATGCAAGAAATAAATAAACGAAACACCAATAATTGAACAAAAAGATAAAAAAGAATACAACCAATATTTTTTGAATCGTAAATCATGAGTAATCAATTATATTAAAATTAAGTGAAAATATACATTCATAACTTTTCTGAAACAGCTTTCAACTTGTTTCATGTCCAAATAAATATCTAGCGAAAAATAAACTATGCCCGCCAATGTCAACAAGCATTTTACCACACCATAAATTCGATTTTCCCTTGAAAAGTGAAGAAATCAGCACGATAATGAAGTTGGCTTCATTCCCAAATAGGTCTCTTCCACTTTTAAAAGGTTTCCTCTTCCAATTGATTGCTTCTAAAAATAAAGTTACGAAGCTCTTTTTTTTTTTTTGAATTATTTACATTTAGTTCTTAAGCCCTTGACCAATAGGATACATTTTCGAATTAAGCACGTCTATACTTACCACTGTGTTTTTTATCATTTTTACTAAATAACACCGAATATTTTTTTTGTTTTCTGTTGCATGAGATTTTTAGAGATCTTAGATACTTTTGTATCCGCTCATTTCTTATGTACAATTAATTTCTCTCTCTAAGTGACAGTTTTTTTTATTGATATTTTTGGTCCATTTTTTGTCTAAATGAACCAGCTTAAAAATGTTATATGTAACAGAGGATAGCATAAGTGATACGAGAAGCTTACAGTGGAAATAGGGCACATCACCAGGAATAAAATGGTATAAGAACTCAGGCCACGATATGTCGTTTCACGCTGCTAGGGGAGCTTCCTCTATTATGAACTGTTTTATTGTGCGTTTCTGAACAGGTCATAATAGAAAAAAAACGCACCTAGTCGCATACGTCGACATTTCCGAGCACGGCTTCCTATGCAGTTTTAATCCTGGTGATGTATCCTAACTTCCCTAGAATTTTACAACACTTATGCGATCCCCTGTTATATATAACGTTTTTTAACTTGTACATTTCGGCAAAAAATGCTCTACAAATGTCATTAAAAAAGTCTATAGCTTTTGGAGCAAAACCTATTTCAGATTTGAAATCCTAACACCCAAATTAGGCAAGATCTAATATTTTTATAAATGCAATGAAAAAAAAATTTGTTCCCCTGTGTAATTATTCAATTGTAGAATTTTGTATACTTTTAACCATTTAAATGCATGGTATAATTCCAAATGCATAATTTTCCATTGTAAAAATACGACATAAAACTTTTACCGCTGATATGGAACAACAGTTAATACATTAAAGGCTCTTGTATAGTTTGTAACAAATGTAAAAGATGGTACGTCAATTTAATGTAGCATTTTATTTTTTACCACGGAAAGTTATAACGGTTAAGCACGAAAAAACATCACTACACAACAAAATACCAGCGATATTGAAAAGCAATTTCTTAACTAGCTCATGAAATGAAGTATGAGTTATACTTAGTTTGTTTTTAGTATTCAATTATATCATTTCAAGTTTTATAACTAATTCTATTTTTCTTTAAATTTCAGATTGAATCTTTATGAATTAATTAAAAAGAATAACTACAGAGGCATAAGCGCCACCATGATACGTAGGTTTGCTTTTGCTCTAGTTCAGTGTTTAAGACTCTTACACAAAGAACACATCATACATTGTGATCTCAAACCAGTAAGCAGTTTTTTTAATTAAATATTCATCTTTTGTACAGAATCGAATATCTTACTGTATCTTAAATTATTCCAAATGAGTTATTATAGTTATGTGATGGTGTCGCAGTTTTCTATTGTTGTCGTGGCATTTTTATGGGTCGAAAAATCACTTGATATGATCCAGTTCTCCCACATTAGTTTTCATATTGTTTTGGTTGTCCTCAGCGTAAAATTGACACAAGTCATGAAGATATTGTTTTCCTATAAATATTTTTACATCCCTAATTTTAAGGTACTTGTACTGTTAATATTACGTTTTTGGATTTGTTTGTTTTCCAAATTAAGACTTTAAGTGAATTGCTTTTTTTAAATTATTATTATTAGAATAACGCAATTTTACGTTACATTTTGTGATAAAGTTATTTAAATCGGCGTCTGATCTTATTAACAGTTTTACAATAATTATTTTTGGTGCAAATGACATTAATATACTCTGTAAAGAATGACGGTTGAAGAGATTACTTAAATGATTTAAAACTTCACTTTCAGCTTCATGCACACAAAATGATGAAAGCAAAAATTGTGTTTAAAATATACATCCGTTCGTTTGCTAAGCAAAAATATTAAATTACTGTTGTGAAATCACCGAATTCGCTTAAACAATATACTTTTAGTTTAAAATGTTATTTAAAAAGATTATTAATTAAAAATATTGTTCACTAATAGATTTTTTAATAGTATCATAAGGGAAATATTTGGACGTGGGAAGTGGCGGGACAAGTGTTCTTTTTAGTACATTTAGTATTTTTAGTTGAATAATTTCAACTGTCTTATGCTAAGAAACAACAATTATTGCGAAGCAATCATCGTTGTTGGTAAGCGTCAGTAAACAGGGGGCTTAGCTCCCGGGTAAATATAAGAAATTTTGTAAAAATAGCACGATTTATAAGTTTCCGTAGTATTTTAATTATAGAACATTAAACTATTGTACAGTCGAACTCGAGTAACGAACGCGAAGGGGCCGCAACCTTTTCTTTGTTATAACCGAGTGTTCGTAAAAAATGGGTTAATGGAGAAATCATAAAAGCTCCTACATACTTTCTAAATTATAAATGAAATATTTTATTCATTTATGTGCAGATAAAAAGAAGTTAGTTAATTTTTCTATCTCTGTTGTATTCTTCTGTGATTTTTTCCTCTTGAGATAAGTCCAATGTTGGAAATACGATGTATGTTGATGTAAACTTTTTCTGTGCATCAATAATTAACCATTGGCGTTTGAAGTATTTTATTTTTCTGCCCAAAAGCATAAAAATTAAAATAATTTAATTTAAAACTTCTGATAATCCTTTTGTTCATAGCTGAGTTAGAGAGTCTGAATTTTTATGAATCACAAAAATATAGCTTGTTCAAACCGGAATTCGATCCTTAAGAGCGAGCTATACTAAAATAGACTTAACATTGTTCCAATGAAGTATTTCCAGTATCTTAGTTGATTTCAGGTCTTCGTTAAATTTAGGATCGTTATTATCGAGTTATTACAATATAATACCTTTATTAATAAATTAAGATTTCACAATTTAATTATTACAATACTATTATTTAAGATTTAATTAATAAATTTTATTGAACCTATGTAATTAAATTTGGTGGAAATTCTTTTACATTTTTTAAATTTCTTTATATTTAAATATTTTTAAATTTATAAATCTGAAACAGATTATTTTTTCAATTTTATTAATGCTTATTATGTACTGAGTCTCTGTTAAATTATTGTGGGATTTTCTGTTCATTACTTTTGATTATGAGACACGACAAAAAATATTATTCTATACCTGCAAATCACAATTCGAACGGAATTTTTAAATAGTTCAAAGTTAAATAGCCGTTAAGTTACAAAACAAATTGTTAGCCAAACAAAAAAATTATTATAATAACTAAAACAAATTATTAGATGTCAAAAAAAGTGTCATTATTTATGAAGCTCTTAAATAGCTTCAATTTTTTGAGAAAATCGCATTTCTCGTCGTAAAATAATTTTAATAAAAAGCAATAAGAATAGAACAGATTAAAAAATTAATCACAATAAAAAAAGTAGTCTTTAAGATTAGAACAGATCAAAAGTAAATAGAAAATGAGCGAAGAAAAGTAATTTGTTATTATTTAATTTCAGTCATAAATTCTTTATATTAGTATTTACAGGGAATTTCTTTATCATATAATTTCGGTTGTTTTCTAGATTTATTTTGTTTCTAGTTTCGAAAATTTTTTAATAATGAGTGGAATAAATAAGTAAGGAATGATACTGATAAGAATAGATTATTAATTTTTTTTAAAGAATGGAATAAGTAAAATATAATACAGAATGTTTATGTGGAAAACGGCAATTCTATGTTGCTAAACTTTTGATAGGAAATTACAATTTTATGGGTACCGAAATATTATTATAATAATAGTAATTATTATTATTTTATTAAATCGAAATGGAATAAAAAAAATAATTCTGTTATGAAGAAAAATAAGTTTTCATAAAATTTCGAACAAAATATATATGGAACTTCAAACATGTCCTTCAAAAATTCAATTTTTGATGACTCGACCGATAAAATGAAAGCTAATTTAATAAAACTTTCCTTTGGGAGAAAACTAACTATTGATTTATTTACTGATACTCAGCATTGCGGAATAAATATCTGAAAAGTAAAACATTGCCGATACCTTCAATCTTGCCAGATTACGAAGAAAAAAAATTTAACCCCTTTTCGCAGACCATCTCTGATAAAATTACTTTCCCTCTCCAAATCGATGTATCATGGTGTATCATAATATCCTATAAATAAAATATCCAATAATAAAATGAAACCATGTTTTGAAACTTCTGCCTAAGAAACTAAAAGCGTTTTGAATTTTTTTTTTCTGTTGCAGGAGAATATTTTATTGAAGCAGCGATGTGCTAATTCAATAAAAGTTATTGATTTCGGAAGTTCCTGTTATACACACCAAAGAGTATATACGTATATACAATCCAGGTTTTACAGATCGCCGGAGGTATGTATCTCGATTTTTCAGTAAAATATATTTTTTTTAATTCTAGAAACAATTTTAAGTACGCTATTTATTTTAGGCAAAATACATTTTCTTAAAGTGCAAAAACATGATTTTGGTCAACATTTTCGAAATTAAGTTTATTGTAAATTTAGAATTCCTGCACTCTTATCTTTCTAAAAATAGCTTTACTTTTGTGTGTTCTCCAATTGTTTATAAAGTTATATCAGTTCTTGTGCAAAATGACAATAGTGGATAGACTAATGATTTTAAGTTTTTAAATGAGTTCATCACAAAATCAGATTATTTTCACATTTTGCACTACCTTAGACAAGATTTATCATATTGTATTCAAAATAATTTTCTACAATTTTTCAAGAGTGCTATGATTATAGCACACATGTTTTTCGCGAAGACAAGTTCGGAAATTTTTCAAACTTTGCTTTTTCTACTACAGTCCTCCCTAACTCAGTAGCAAACGCACTTGCTTTTACGATAATAGTTCAAAACATAGTTGATAGCCTTATAAATAGAATACTCCTAGGATTTTTTGTTTTAGGTAATAGAAATTGTTTTACTGTGTTTAGCGTATATGCAAAAAAAAAGATGCTTTATTTTTAACTAAAAATTTCCATTTAAATAATAATAATAATAACGAGTTTTGTAAGTTTTTACACATAATAAAACGAACTAGCTTTTTTAAATTTTATATTAATATTTTACAAAAAGTTGCCAAAACTATTTGGATATTTTAAATTAAATCAATTGGATATCTCGCATTTATGACTTATTTAATTAAGTCATAAATGCGAGTTTCAATTTCCAGGACATCTGAAAATGTAATGTAAAAAATATTTATTGTATTTCCAAATAACTACCACCCACTGTATACTGTGAGTGGAAGCCCTGAATAACTTTTGATCTAATGTTCGCATTTTTACGTACTAGAACTCAATCTGAATAACACTATTACTATTTATGTAAAAAAAAAGAAAGAATATTTCATTTTTCAAGATCCGGTATTTTATTATACCGTTTTTGTATGAATGTTTTCATTTATTGAGAAAATATTTTTTGTGTTATTTTATTTTATTTTATAACTGTTATTGAACAATCGAACCAGTTTTTGGGTTTACGACAACTTATGCTCAACTCCGTTGACTTGCAATTTTGAATCTTATCCAGAAGACAAGGAATCTCCTGGATCAAGCATCGATACAAACTAGTCTTCATAGAAGACTTTTTGATGGAAATAACACGCATTTAAGTAACAAGGAGAGGAAAACTACGAAAACTTCCCACGGTATGTCTGACTGCAAAGGAACTCTAACCCATGATTTGCGACCACTGAGGAAAATTTACGTCAGTACTGTGGTCGGTGGGAGCCGGGTGCGGAATTCGTATCGACCAGCTATGGCTGAGATTCGAACCTGGTTCACCTCATTGGAAGATGAAAGCTCTATCCCCTGAGCCACCACGGCTCTTTTGTGCTATTCGGTGAAAAAAAAGAATATCCGTTATCCATTAAAAAATTACAATAATTCTATTCTAATAAAATTAAAATATAGTGGAAGGTGTAGGTCGTTTCCCCGTTGTTGTTTTGATTAAAAAAATTCCTTTTTTTTGTTGCCAATTTTACAGTTTTGTTTTAATATTGAATATTTTTTGTTTATTGTAAAAAAATTTTATTTCAGGATTTTTTTTACTGCTTGGTAAATATTTTTATCTTTTAAAAGTTGCTTTAAAGGTCATTGTTCAGTAACATTTCTTGCTGCAGCCATATTTAGTGCAAATATTAAAGCCACCACTCTATAATCTACCTCCTTAGGTCACCATTTTGAGTCTCGATAAATTTTAAAGAAAATAAAAACCTTTCACAACTCTTTTACAACTATTTTTTTCATTTACCATAAAATTTCGTTGAGAATTTAATTTAAAAAATTATTAATAAATTTAATTAAACTCTACTTGGAGAAGTGGTTCCCATCTCAATAATGTAACACAAAATGACGTTAATATCTTCTACAATGTTATTTAAAAATATACTACCATGCTATAATACTATACTCTTCTGAAACACTATCATAAATGACCATATCTCTTCCGAAAATGATAGGGTATACTTTGTGTTGTGTAGACCGAAGCAAAAAAATGAATAAATAATATGAAATACAAATTATAAAAACACAGAAATGGGCATACTATAGTTTCGGTTCTACAAACTAGAACTTTCCTTGTTGTCTAAATACCAAATGATGGTAGAGAAGCTAATAGACAATTATATGCAATGTGGTTTAAATAATAAGGACAGATGAATGAATTTGAACAAAAAAGAAGGGAGATAGTAGACAAGTGTGTGTAGGGGGGGGGTTGCAGGAGCACAGGACGCAAAAGATTGAATTAGAATAGTTTTCCAAATATTGAAAACCGATGGGATGCTAGAAATATCATTAGTTAAATTATTAGGACTTTTCGAACTATGGAATGGAGTCTCGATGGCTCAGGGGATAGAGATTTCCCCTTCCAACGAGGTAAACCGGGGTGGCTGGTCGATTAGAATTCTGCATCCAGCTTGCACCGACCACAGTGCTGACGTGAAATATCCTCAGAGGTAGACGGATCATGGGTTAGAGTCCCTTTGCCGTCAGGCTAACCGTGGGAGGTTCTCGAGGTCTTCCTCTCTATGTAACGCAAATGCGGGTTAGTTTCATCAAAAAATCCTCCTCGAAGGCAAATTTCTCCCAATACTTGATTCAGGAGTTCCCCTGTCTTCTGGATTGGGTTCAAAATTACAAGGCAACGGAGTTGAACATTAGTAGTCGTAAGACCCCAAAAATTGGGTCGGCTGTTCAACGACGGTTATAAAATAAAATATAAAATCAAAATTATGGAATGATTCCCAGAAATCAAGTTCAGTAAATGAAGATCAAAGATGAGTGAATTTAGCAGGGGGAAAAAATCAAAACATATCTTTCGAGTTCCTTAAGTCGAAGTTTAAGGGTATATTTAGTTTATCCAATATACGCAGGACACGCACTGACAAGAAATTTGATAATTGACCCACCAATTAATAGGGACATTTCACACTTTTACGTTAGCTTCCGTACGCTCCAGTACGTAAGATATGAAGAAACTGGGTTAAATTTTGCATGCTACGTATCTTTACGTTATGTTGGCGTAATCAACGCTGCAAAGACAGAACTGGAAGCAAGCTGTTTATAGCTGACAAATGTTGTTTTCTGTTTAAGCCTACCTTCGAATTTAAAACATGGACATGCAATGCGAATTTGAAGAAATGTATGGATGAAATTTAGAAATGAATCGTGCTATATTACTGCTACCTTACCTGTGCAGTTCAAAGCAAACTATTGTAAAGTTAGGATAATTTGCGGACTTCATGCATAAACAAAATTTCTTCAATCTTTGGCCTCAAATCTAAATAATAAGCTTCATTCCTTATCGCTGAATTTATCAAAATCTATCAAATTTTTCTGCTCATGGAACCACAGTTTTACGTAGGGCAAAGCATCTGGAGTCGTATGCCGCAGCTTTCCAGTGATCTTCTACGTCCAAATGTTTGATTTTATGGTCAAAGTTGAAATGATATTTCACTACGTTAGCGTTTTTAACGTATGGATTTCCCCCAAATCTCTTATTTTCCCTGACGTAAGTTTCATATTTTTCTCGTGCACATGCTCAAAAAATCTTACGTATAGGAGCTAATGTAAATTTGCGAAATCTCCCTAATATCAGCAGTAGGATCTTTAAGGTTGGTTGAATTTAGTTGGTTTACAGGTGCGAAAATGGCTTCAAAGCTTTTTGTTACTAATGGTCAGAAAAAACAAGATTGCTATTAGAAAAACGTAATTGTTTTAATGACGCAGATCATTAATGAATTAATTAAGACACTTATGTGATTAATGAAGATGTTGTAAATTGCAGGTGATATTAGGTCTTCCATATGGTCCGGCAATAGACATGTGGAGCCTGGGTTGCATTCTATCGGAACTGCAGACGGGACTGCCGCTGTTTCCTGGTGAAAACGAGGCTGATCAGCTCGCTTGCATCATGGAAGTACTAGGCCCACCCCCACAAGCAGTTCTCGAGCTTGCATCTAGGCGGAGATTATTCTTCGGTGAGATATTATTTACATAGCCCGGATAAAGAATTTCAATTTTCTTTTAAAATAAAAATTGAACTAAGTTTTAAACAAATATTTTTCATTATTTAAGCAAAGATGTTTTAAATGAAAAAAAAAAAAACTACATCTTTCGGTAATTCCGCAGTTTCATAGTTATTTACACTGTCACGGGTGATTATAATTTTCCCTCTCTGTAAATAATTTTATCCTGTCTATCAGCTTATTTCTTTTTTGTAAGTATTTATTAATGCATTAAAAACACAGATTATTAATGAATTAATTAATGCACTTTTGTATGGAAATAGTTGGAATAGTTAGAATATAGTTTCTTTAAAAAAATTGAATTAAGTTTTTACAAAAATATTTTTCATTAGTTAAACAAGGATGTTTTAAAATATAAAAAAGAACTTTAAAAACCCTACATCTTTTGGCAATTCTCCTTCTTCATCGTTATTTACACTGTCACTGGTGAAAATAATCTGTCCTGTAAATAAATAATTTTATGCTGTCTATCGTTATCTTTTTAGTGAGTATTTATTAATGAATTAAAAACCCAAATTATTGATGAATTAATTAATACACTTATGTCCGGAAATATTTGGACTAGCTATAAAGAGAAAGTTTCTTTAAAAAAATTGAATAAAGTTTTTAAAAAATATTTTTCATTTTTTAAACAAAGATGTTTTGAATATAAAAAAACTACTTTAAAAACCCTACATCTTAAAGTAATTCTGCATTTTTATCTGCATTTGCACTGCATTTCTGGTAAAAATAATCTGTCCTATCAATAAATAATTATTATTAATGAATTAAATAATTTTATTAATAAATAATTTTATCTCGTCTTCCGCTTATTTCTTTATAGTGAGTAATTATTAATGAATTAAAAAAGTGGATCATTAATGAATTAATTAATACATTTATGTCCGGAAATAGTTATACTTGATCTAAAAATGTCGAACTCATTTAAAACACTGATGCGTGTAATGTATGCGTCTGCCAATTAATGATATGCATTCTTTTTTTTCTTCTAAAGATTCGAAGGGTAATCCCCGATGCATAACAAACAGTAAGGGTAAAAAGCGCCGACCCGCATCTCGACCGCTGTCCATTGCCCTCAACACCGATGACCAAGAATTTGTAGACTTTATTGGAAGGTGTCTGGAGTGAGTATTTTATTTTAATTATTTGATTGATATGTTAGATGGAGTTATAAATAATTTCCTCTCTTTCTTGCATCAAGGTCACTTTTTGAATTTCCCAGACCTAAATTTTAAGTATACAGAAGTTGAAAAAAAATATCTTTATTAAATTTCATGTCTACAATTATTTATAATTTTTGATTATTTAATAATTTTTGTTACTTATAATTTTTGAATTTTACAGACCTAAATTAAAAAAATTTTTTAAAAAAAATTGTAAATTTTTTTTTAAAATCAAAAATGAATTAAAATTTTTTATCCTTAATAAGTTTATTTTTCATTTTAAAATAGACTTAAAAAAGAGAGTTGATTTGTATATTTCGTCAGATTTAAAACGAAGAACGCTTTTCTTACTTGAAACAAGAAGAAATGAAATGAGATGGGGATAAAAGTTTAAAGCAATCCTATCAACGTTTCTTCACTTTAGGTTGAACGAAAATAAAAATATTTTTTTCCTTTTAATTTACTTAAAAATTATAGCATTTAAAATTTATATTTTGTTTTATAATTTTTTCTTTAGTTTTACAACTTTTTTTCTATAGTTTTATGCCCCATTATCTCAAAAGTGATTGACGTTTCATTCGGCGATACATTTTTTTAAGCATTCAGGAAACAATCGCAAATTGTATTCTATAGTCATTAGGCTTTCCTGTTGATATTTGAGAACCCTAGCTAGTATTTTAATTGACAATATGCTTTGTTTGCTGTGGTCAGGAAATGATTGAAGTTTATTTTGTCACCAGGCACAAAGCTTCAAGTGAGATTTAAACACCCTAATTTATGAGAAAGTAGTTAAAATTTCGATTGACGATAATTTCCTTTAATTGATAAAATTTCGATAAATTTCACTTTTAATGGTCAGGAAGTAATAAAGATGTGAGAGAAAAAGTAGGAAAAGAGTGAAATTTTAAAGGTTTTAGTGGAAGAACATGTTAAGCGAAATTTTTAAAACTTTCAAGTTTCCTTTTTAAAAAACGCTTTGCAGTCATTTGTTGTAATAGAACATTAAATTTATTTTGGTGCGTCTTTAGTAAAGGCAGTTTCCAATAGGACAGCAGTCTTGTAAAAATTTATCTGGTGTTTACACGCAGTGTTTTTGCCACGTTACATATTTTTGCCATATGTTACGTGTTTTTCGACACACGACACTTTAATATTTTATTTATGCCTGTTTTTATGACAGAAATTTCCACATTTTTGGGAGATTTAATTTGTTTTCATCTTTTTTCATGAAGATATTAGCGAAATGTGCATCCGTCTATAAAGTTAACTTTTATATAAATTTACCAATTTTTGAAAGAAATAAACGGTCCTAAATCTTTTCCTTTTGTTTTAAGTTTAAACTCGGAAAATTTGCAAAACACCCTTTAGAAATCAAGTGTGTTTGCCGTATGTTTCTAAAATGACCGATTGTTCGAATAACCGATTAAAAAAAGTGATAGCGACAAATGATTTGCTGCATTTGACTCATGAATCTATGATATTTAATCTCACTAACTTTTGAAAAAGTTACAAAGTTCATCAACAGGTGACACTGGTGACTAAGAAGCTATACTAAGTCTTTTCTTCTATAAACCATTTCAATTGAAATATTTACAGGAGTTCCCAATAATTTTGCTTTTAGATTGCGCAAGATTGTAGCTGCAACTAATGGTTATTTTAAATCATTGCTTTATAGCCCTTTCCACATTGTAGCGCCATCTGTGAATAAATTTTGCAACTGATTTTAAAATTTTATAATAAGAAATAAACTGGTTTTCTTGGCAAAAAGCAACAAATCGAACATTTCTTCTTCATTCTGTATTTGTTTCATTAGTTTTTCAAATTGTTGGTCATTTTTAGAACACCCGGTTACAGCGAATCTACTTAGCATAATATTCAATATGATTGGAGTTTTACAAATATTGCACATGAATTACGGTTGGAAAGAAATTTCCTAAGAAATATATATTCTTTTGTTTTGCAGCTGGAACAGTTCTCTTAGAATGAATCCCGATGAAGCCCTACAGCACTTATGGCTGTCTTCTTGTTCATCACAAAGAATATCATCCCACAGCTTTAGAGACTTTGAATCAGGTATGTATTTCGGTAAACAACTTAACCATTGCGGTATAGCATTTAAGTAATCATGCATATAGCCATACTGCATAATTCAAAATTATCTAACAGCTTTTAAAAGTTAAACTCGTCGGACAGAAATTTAATTTATGCTACCTTTTACGATATATGTCATATAATTATAAAAAAGAGTTGTAGTTTAAAAAATTATAGAGTATAGAATTTATAAAGAGTACAGAGTTATCTATGGCCGTGGCTAAGAATTAGACTTCTGCCAAACCCATACGTCATACCCCTTTATAGGGCAGACTCATTCATACATCCATTCATTTATCCATTGATCGTAATTTTGACCTGAGTCAGAGAATGATCAATCACCGATTCAGTATCTCCAGAGGTATAATTTGTTGTGGGAACATGGAGAGCTTTGGGACCAGACAGCTTTAACATGCACCAGTCACCATTTACTACACGAGGAGTCTTCGGCCGGTTGGATTCGAATTCCCGTTCTCACGAACTTGAGTCCAGATCCCTGTCTACCAGGCTATCCCAGCCTCCCCCCCCCCCAAAAAAAAAAATCAATTGTTTTAAATGAATAATTTTTTTTCAAAAATCGCAGTTGATTTAAACTTCTCGATTCTAAATTATAAACTGGGCAAATAAAAAATCAATGACTGGTTAAATGCACTGTCTTTAAAAATATCTTGAATATGGAATATTATAATATGCCAATTACGAAATTAATTGAAACTGTTCTAAGATAGCAGACTATAACTGACCTAATTAAGAACATTTGTTTTAAGCTCAAATTTACAATTATTTTGAACGAAACATTACGAAACGATTTCGTTAAACGTTAAATCATAAGAATACTCCACATTTCTCACAAAATGCTATTGTTTTGTCTGACAGAACCTTCCAATTTTCATCTCTATGCTTTTGACTTTTTTCAATTATATGATTTAGTCCTTCATATCCTACATCTTTGCAAAGCCTAACAGCTGAATTTAGTTTTTTCTTTGGGGGTGGTAACACCAGCCTTCGACGTGATAGCCTTCCACGTTTAGTTGGAGCTGTTGCTTTTAAAATTCTGCAATATCAAGCGTACACACGCTGCATACATGCAACACAATATTTTTTGAAAAATTATTGATCTATTCAAAAACAAATTACTAATATGCATCTGGTGCGCTATATTAATGGAACAAGTATGGCAACATGCCTTATTTGCTTTAAGGTCCCATTAGTAGAATATATGATACATTTCCATTTGCAATTCAAGTTCCAATTTTTTTCACAGTTTGAAGTACTGGGATTAAAATTGTGCTGTAGAATATTTTTAAGTTGCAAGTAATGACATATAAATAATATTTCGAAAACTAATAAAATATGCCTTTTAGCTTCAAATGTCCAAAAGCTTTTCTTCTGCTATGAACGTGCAAACATTTAATAAAGCTTGCTTACGTTTCTGGCATGCATTATTAGTACTTACAATTCAAAATATTTCAGCTAATAATAAATAAAATAATAAAAACTATTTATTAAAAGTTATTTTTCGTTTAGAATTATCTTTGGATAAATGGATTTTATAATTGTGTGTAAAACGTTTTCAACTCATTTAAATTTCTCGAGATGTGGTGAAATACGTAAAAAGTAAAATAAACATTAAGGGGTCCAAACTTTGGAGCGCTCTCCAGACCAAACTATTCGGACCCTATTTTCCAGATGGCGGCTATCCTCCATATTTTGGGGGTCAGAAATCCTAATGAACTGAAAAAAGTACGTTTATTCAAAGAAAATATGTTTTCGTGCCTGATTTCGTAATTTAAAATAGCGTCTGCACTAATTAATTAGCATATTTGAGGTCATCCCCTCGAACCGTTAAGATTGAGTCTTTAGAACGTGAAGATCCGATCAATACATGAAAAGTTATTCATTCTGATCCGTTTATTTTTTTGCGCTCTGTATATATTCAAAATTTAAGTTTTGTACAAAATACTTTTATCAGTAAGAGCAAATTAAAGCTGAAATTTGAAAAAGAAAGAGAATTTTTATAAGACCTTAATAAAGACTTAAGAGCGTTTTTCTATCTGACTTTTAATTCACTGTTTAAAATATTTATAAGTAGTGGTGTCAAAAGTTCTTTTAATTGTATTTTGTTAAAATATTAATTCACTATCTTTGCTATCTCTGGAAAAATATTTTCTGAAACTACTGAAAACCCGTTGTAGAATTCTTATTAAAACTGCACCAATTACCATCATACCAAAAGTGCATATTACCAAATTTAATTAAGCGTCATCTGCGTATTGTGATTTCCTACGATTCCCCTGAACGAATTTCCCATTAACCTTTTCTTCATTAACTTTAATTTTTAGCATGTAGCTTATTTTTTTAAAAATTTATATCAATACATATTACCAATATTAATTATGCAATGGGAATAACAATAATAATATGGCGAATAATAACATCCTTAAAAACGATTAAATCTTTTTTCCATTAACTTTGCTCTTTTTAATAGATAGGTTATTTTTTATTTCAATTAATACAAATTATCAACAATAATTTAGCATAATTGTCGCTAATAGTAGAATGGCAATTTTTTCCGGTTCCTCTAAAGAAATAAGTAACTGTACTCCATTAATTTTTCCTTTTAATAATTAGCTTATTTCTCTTATATCAATATGCATGTATTACCGAAATTAATTAAGAATAACTGGCGTAAATAATAGTATGCTGAATTTTAGATCTCTTCTACGCGAATTACTATTTTTTTATCACTTTTGTTTCTAAAAACATGACTATATTTTTTCATTTCAATTACCGTTGAATTTAAATTATTTACTTTCATGAAAACGCGTTTTAAAAGAATTACTCCAAACAAAATAAATATGGAGCAGAAGATAACTTTAGAAATACTAATTTGGTGTCGTAGTCCGCGAATGCTAGCACGTTAATGTTGTTTATTGAATTTATCTGAATGAAAAATAATTAAATACTATAGTACTTACAATAAACACAAATCCAAGAAACAGGAAGAGTTGAAAAGTGTTATCAATAATTTTAATAATTTATTGTTATTTTTTTTTCAAAAGATGGAACAGTCTTTTATTACTAAATACTGTGAGGTGCTGATTAAATGTTTCTCAAAAAAAATCACGTAACATTTTCAAATTGAATCGCATGACTCTTCGTATTCATTTTATCAAACATATCGTACTCTCGTTTCGCTGTATGTCTCTAGACTACATCTAACACCGATTTACAGATAAACTTTAGCATAATCTGGAAAAAAGAGTAAACAGGATATTTAATAACGTACAATCTGTTTTTTTTTATATCTAGAAAATTCTGGAAGCGCATAGCGCTTAAAACAGGAAGATGACAAAATCAGTAAAATGAACTTATAGCTTGCATGGAGAGACAAAATACAAAAATAGTTCGAAAGTTCAAAATCAAAACTAAATAATTCAAAAACTAAGTTAAAAACAAAAATGAAAGTGCTAAATGGAATAATGGATACTAAATAAATAAGATAGAGAAAAAAAATGTATGATTAACAGCCACATCGTTGGTCAAAACTATTTTACGCAAGCATGCAATAGTATACATTATCAAGTATACAACTATAGTGGTAAAGTCAATTGACCCTTCCCCCTTATCTTCTGGAATATTCCACATTATGTGCTTTGCATTTACAGAAAATCAGAGGAGACATTCAGAAGAAAAGAAAATCGCGGACATTCGAAAGGAAACTGGAAATTCGAACAATCGTAAGACACATATCTTTTTCGATGCACCTTTAATCCATCAAATTGCACCATTCCCTCTCGAAAATGCAGGCTGCTCCTATAACAATTGTAAGACACATATCTTTTTCGATGCACTTTTAATCTATCAAATTGCACCATTCCCTCTCGAAAATGCAGACTGTTCCTATAACAGTCGTAAGACACATATCTTTTTCGATGCACTTATAATCCATCAAATTGCACCATTCCCTCTCGAAAATGCAGACTGTTCCTATAACAGTCGTAAGACGCATATCTTTTTCGATGCACTTTTAATCCATCAAATTGCACCATTCCTTCTCGAAAATGCAGACTGTTCCTATAACAATCGTAAGACGCATATCTTTTTCGATGCACCTTTAATCCATCAAATTGCACCATTCCCTCTCGAAAATGCAGGCTGTTCCTATAACAGAAAGACGCATATCTTTTTCGATGCACCATTCCCTCTCGAAATGCAGGCTGTTCCTATAACAATCGTAAAACACATATCTTTTTCGATGCACCTTTATCCATCAAATTGTACCATTCCCTCTCGAAAATACAGGCTGTTTCCATAACAAAAAACCTTAATATTCATTTTCAGAACTCAAAAAATTTATGCGCATTAAAAATCGTCGTTTTAATATTTAAACCAGGAAAAAACAGAAATGGTATCGAAATCTTACGAATAATGTGTGACGAAAATGGTATTGTGAATATCAAACCCTTGTTTGGCTGTCGGCGGAAAGAAAGAAGAGTTTAAAGGTGATACTTGGAAAGTTTCACATGACAATCACACTGGTTTTGACCTGACAATCAAACTGGTTCCAACTAGTGATTCCCCAGATTTCAATTGCGTTTTTATTTTTTTCTGTCTTAAATACTAATTTACGACTCCTTAAGTGTGTGCCATTTAACCTTCATTTTTTATTAGGATTCCATAAGCATTCATCAAAGGTAACAAAAAACCACCGTATGCATTACTTCAATCATTAATAAATCTTTCGATGCATAATCATACTTAGTTCCCGCTTAGGGATCAAATCGCTTTCAGCGCAAACTAGTTTATCTAGAGTTTATATAATGTAAAACATTGTGTTTTACTTTCTACACTCTCTGCAAATAGAGGCGTCTCAAGGTTACGTGATAGCCCCAGTCTCCACACTTTTCCCCGTTTCGTTACAATGGTGTTTGAAAATTTAGTTAAACAAACGCTCTGCCATGGAAAGAAATCAAGATTATTTAATACTCAAAATGATTCGTTTATTTGTAATGCACTTTTTTACTTATCTTCTGAAGGTTAAAGATTGCACCAAAACTAATTCCGTTGCTAGAGTATGTTAAATTAAAATTATGGCCAAATGGCATCCATTGCATTTATATTTAATGTCAATCAGTAAAATGTATACATTATTCTGGAAATTGACCAGAAGTCTATTTTTGTTGATGCAATAATATTTTTCGAAGGGTAAAATATTTAATCCGTTTTAATTCACTTAATCTTCGAATGTTAGAAATTTATTTTTAATTTTTTATTGTCGATAATTATATGTTCAGATCGTCGCACTTCATTAATGTCTTCTAAAGCACAAAATCTGCTCTTTTAATTCTTCTTTTAACCTTTTGACATATGACTTTATATATTACGTAGAGCGTGATTTTTTTTCCTTCCCGGAAAATTCCCTTTGGGAGTATTTTCCGGTATTCAGTCCTGTAAAAAGAATTTGGAAGTGAAAAGGAAATTGATTTTTCTTTGTCATGATAGAAGTTTTTAAGTATTTCAGTTCATGTGGAAGTTTCAAAAGAAGTATTCGAACTTTATTTTATAATTTTAATATCGCCGTAGAATAAACTACTTTCTAAAACTCTATTCTTACCAAATGTAATAACGTATGTATTTTATCACATTAATAGATTTTTTAAAATTTTTGTATGAATTTGACTTTTAAATTACAGAAAAGATTTTATTTTAATGCATGTAATAGTTCAGTAAAATTATACTTTTTATTCAAAGAAATTAATTCTCGAACTTTTTTTTTTATGTAAAGCGTCATTATGTCCTCGTGAATGATATTTTATTCTATTTTGTAATTGTCATTGAACAGCCAACCCGATTTCGGATTTATGATTACCAATGTTCAACTCCGTAGCTTCGTAATTTTGAACCCAATCCAGAAGACAGCGGAACTCCTGGATCAAGTATTGAGAGAAAGTTTGCTATCGTGGAGAACTTTTTGATGGAACTAACCCTCATTTGCGTTACATGAAGAGGATGATCACGAGAACTTCCCATGGTTAGCCTAATGGCAAGGGGACTTTATCCCATGATCCGTCTACCACTGAGGATATTTTAGGTCAGCACTAGGGTCGGTGCGAGCCTCGTGGGGAATTCGTATCGACCAGCCATCGCTGGGAATCGAATCCGGTTCAGCTCATTGGAAGGCGAATGCCCTATCCATTCAGCCATCACGGCTCCCATATTGGAAAACTCCCTACTGTACGTCCCCCCCCCATTTTCCGCTTTTGTTTGGAAATGGGGGTCATTTGAGGATGAAGAATTGAATTTCCTCGGACCAGATAAATGATGAATTGTTTCCGATGAGTTTTTTAAGAGTAATCCTGAGACCATCGGAGTAATACCTAAAAAAAGAAAAAACTTCACTCGTTTCTAAACTATTTAAATAGGAAATATTTTTTTTCTTCTGTTTTCCAACTTTTTTTCTCTCTAAGGAACTGTGGTTTTTTCTACTTTTTTTTCTTACCCTTATTTTTCCATTTTTCCATTCTTCATTTTCCATTTTAGTTTTATATTTTAAATCACTTTTATGTCTTATCCTTCACGTCTACCAAATCTGGAAAATGGGTGCCTATTTTTGAGCGCTTGAATCTCATCGAAATTATCTTGTTATTTCCTATTTATATATATTTTTAGGCGAATGAAGTTTTTAATCAGGTAATATAGCTCTTCAGTTTCTCGGGATTATTTCTTTAATAGGGTACTTGCATTTCTGGACGAAGAAGATCACAGATACCCACACACGTGACCTATGACGTCAGCTGCAGCTGATCGGTAAAAGCAAAAAGGCGTGCTAAAGTTGAGCAAGTTTCTCCACATAAGTTAGAATTCTGATTAAAGTGAAGTTAATAAAATACAGCGCATTATCGCACATAGAAAGTATAATTCTTTCTCGTCAACGTCTCTTGCTTAACTTAGATTTATTATGTATTGGAACCGTGGTATATTTTTATTTTGGGCACCTGGCAACTTCGATGCGCAATTAGTTTGTTTATGTTCTGCATTGCTTCGTGTCTGTCTATGCGTTAAGTAAGAAATATTCAGTGAAATAATTGAAATTTCTGTGTAAGAATATAGAACGTGTCACCCAATAGAAATGATATTTGACGTGCTTGGCGTACTCGAAATATAATGGAAAGAACAGTTGCTAACGTAAACAAATGCCACACTTCACACAATCAGCAGCCAATCAAGATCGAGGTATCCACACTACGTCACTTGGAGTTATCCCATTGATGGGATTAATAGTTTAGAAATTATAAGGATTTTAAGTACAATAAGTGCATTTTTGTACTGGTTTAATTACCGATTTATGTATCTGCGATTGCTATCTTAAAATCTTAACTGGTGAAGCATTTTTAACTGTATATTTACTTTACGCTGAAACAAATGAAATTATACACGAGTAAACAAAAGGAATGGTTGAAAAGTTTATACGGTTTTCATGTATAAAAATATTTTTAATACATTCCGACGTACGTTTTTTGCATTTCAATTTAGCTATTTGAACTTATAAGGTATATTTTTTCAGCGAAATTTCTTATACTGAATTGAACGGGACAAAACTGGAATCCGAAATGTACATGGAAGAGTAAGGGAGTTTTCGGATATCATTTATAATGACGCAAAAAAGCTTTTTTGTGAAAATACTTTAAAAATAAAAACTCCTTTTATCGTCATAGTTACTGGTTAATAGGGGATGACCAATTACATTAAAGTGATATAAAAATTTCCTAACTCTAACCAATCATTATTAAAGTCAGTAATAATAAAGAACGAATTAAAGCAATCAAATAAAATAATTAAAAAATTTAAAAAAATATGTTTCTAAAGTAGTCCAGTAATTTATAGCAAAAAAAGGGCGTTTCTTTGAAAAAATTTGTACTCAACATTTTTTCACGTAAAGCTTTGTTATGCTATTGTAAACAATGACTGAAAACTCTCTTTCACCCTTTTTATATTTTATTTTTTATGACCTTCGACCCATTGACTTGAACAGCCGACCCATTTTGAGTTTACGGCTACCAATGTTGAGCGCCTTAACCTTGTCATTTTGAGCTCACTCCAAATGACAAGGGAACTCCAGGATCAAGTATTGGGCGAAATTTTGATTTCGTGGGGGATTTTTTGATGGAATTAACCCGCCTTTGCGTTACATGGAGAGGAAAACCATGAAAACCTCCCACGGTTAGCTTGATGGCAGGGGACTCTAACCCATGATCCGTCTACCACTGAGGATATTTAACGTCAGCACTGTGGTCGTTTCGAGCCAGATCGTCTCGCTGGGATTCGAATCTGTTTTACCCTTTGTGTGAAGTGTGGCTCTCACCCCCATTTTATACGGGAATTGGGGGGAGGGGGTAAATTTGGAGGAGAATTGTATATCATTTACGTAAGCAAGTGAGGGATTGTTTCCGATGTATCCTTTTAAGCTGAATAGAACGAAATTAATTCCGAGACAATCAGATTATTTGTTTGGAAGTTATAAGAATTGAATGTACAAAAAAGAGTACAATTTTGTACTTGTACCTATTTCTGCATATCACATTACTACAGAAACAAGTGAGGCGTAGTTTCCCGTGTATTTTGTTTACGCCAAATCGAATAATAGTATACACGAGTCAATAGAATGAATAGATTAGATTTTACAAGAGTTTTTATGCGCACAAATATTTGTACTTATGTACGCGATTTGAACTTATGTACGCACCTTGCATTACTATCTAGGGACTATATAATGCATTGTTTATGATGTAATTTTTTCGCTGGATTGAATGAGATCAATTACGAAATATTCAGTTTAATAGTTTAGAAGTTATGATTATTTTATATACAAAAAGTACAATGTTATACTTCACTTATTTACACATCTTACATAGCTGTATAATCAAGTGAATTATTTTTCTTATGTATTTTTTCTCGCTTAATTGAAGGATATCATCGTTTAATTGAATAATATATTTGCCATTTTTGATGTTATTGGAATGATTGATATATTTGTTATTTTTGATGGTAATGATTCTTTTATTTTGCGAAAACAATTTTCTTCGGATTTTGTGGGGCAAAATCTGAAAATCCCCAGCGATTTTGAGAAAAGCATAACCATTACACTGCGGTTTTATTTTTATGAAACTACGGCACTGACCCTTATTTTATAGTCTACATATCTTCCACGTTAACTATTAACAGATAAATATTTACAATGGAATTAATATTTACGGCATCAAAGATCATTCGGAAACCTTCAAAATAAGGCTATTTTGTATTTATATTTCTGTGCATGTC